TCACTCAGCTGTCAGATACTTCCCGGAGCTTTGAATGGGGAGGGGTCGCATGCCTGCAGGGCAGCAGAGATCACAAAACCCTGAGCACAGCCATCAGGGCAAGTATTGTGGGATACTAGCGGAAGTCAGTTCTCTCAACAAAGCAAACAGCAGAGTCCACACTGAAGGAAGGGAAAAAGACTAAAAGTCTCTTGCAGGAGTAGAAGTTTTTGTTGCCAAATCTGGGTGTTTTTCCCAGCAAAAGTCACATTGTAGCATGAGCGCTCTTACTGTTTTGTCAACAAAAGTCAGTTTTTCGTGACAAATGTGCCAGTGTAGACAAGAAGGTTTAACATCACTTCCGAAAGGAATACTTCTTTCCCCTGCCTACCATGATGTGTGTTCAGCCCCAGTTCTATAACCCCAAACAACCTAGCCCAGGACTTCCTGCAGCTTGGCTCTGACTGCACACCTCCCGGCAGGTTGGCATTTAATACAGCACAAATCTTGAAATCTCATGTCAGTAGAAAACCACTCTGAAGTTCAAATGCACAATGGGCTCCTACTGCTGCTGATTATTAATTTGTTGATTGACAAAAAGAATTGCCAGGGATGCAGAGGACAGAAGTAATAAAGGGAGCACTTTATTTTAAAGGATTTAAAAGAAAGATATGGGATTTCAGCAATTTCCAGTAGAAATACTTCACAAAAGAGGCTCTGTGCACACTGGCTCTTCAATGCCAACATTTAGTCTCATTACTGCAGATGCTTAAATAGTCATGTCTTAGGCTGCTTTGTTTTATAGCAAAACTGATCACTAAAGATAACAAAATAGAACAGTAACAGCAATTATGGCAAGGAAATTACAGAAGCATGCAGTTAATAAAATTACAGACATAACATAAAATAGAGAGAAAGAAAGTGCCCAGTAAAGTAGAAAGATTGTATTTCCTAATAGTAAAAGAAAATTAAGATTGCAAAGTCAAATACTCAGAAGTGAGGAAATGCCAGCATTAAGGTTGCTTGCGCAATCTTAATTTGTCCGGTTGAGCATATGCTTTATGAGCCAGACTTCAATTGAATGATCACGTTATATTTTTTCAGACAGCACCCTGCCTCGTTCTGTACACAGGATGGATGGCGCTCACTGGATGGGTAGTTTATTCAATATATTTCTTATCCTCCTCATTCAGTGTGTGGCTCCAGGCCTTATTTACTGCGCACCATCCACACCCTGCTCCGACTGCATTCTTATTAATAACCTTGTGGGCATTTCTACCATATCTTAGTTTTTTTTCTTTACAACATCCCTGTGTGGTGGGGGGAGCAAGGAGAAAGAGGTGGTATTGTCTCCCTTTAGCACACATGGAACAGAGATTAAGGTGAAAACAGTTAAAAATATCAATTAATTTTGGTTGCCCAATTTAAGATATTTAGCACCCCATTTTTCAGAGTACTTAACATTATATAAAAACTTCAGGGGTAGCTGAGTTAGTCTGTAAGGGTACATCTAGATTACCTTCTTCTTTCTAAAAGGAGATATGCAAATTTGGTGCTAATTTGCATATCTTCTTCTGATTGCTTTTTCGAAAGTGTCTTTTTTTTTAAAGTGAACAGTTTAGACAGGAGTTTTTCAAAAGAACCCCCCTTTTTTGAAAGAACCCTTCTTCCTTAAAAAAGGAGGCGTACAGCGTTCTTTCGATAAAACTCCGTCTGAACTGTTTTCTCTTTAGAAAAAAAATGGTATTGAAAAAGTGATCAGAAGAAGATATGCAAATTAGCACCAAATTTGCATATCTCCTTTTGAAAGAAGAGCGTAGTCTAGCTGTACCCTAACAAGAAAAACTTAAAAATCAACAAATAGTCTAGTAGCACCTTAAAGACTAAGGGTATGTCTACGCTTGCCCCCTAGTTCGGACTAGGGAGGCAAATGAAGCATACCAAAGTTGCTAATGAAGTGCGGGATTTAAATATCACGTGCTTGATTAGCATATTCGGGGCCGGTCGCCATTTTAAAATGCTGGTCGCCCTATTTAACATGCCGCATGTAGACGCGGTAGTCCAATCCAAAACCCTTCCCTCGAATTAACTGTTACTCCTCATTGCACGAGGAGTAACAGTTAATTCAAGGGAAGGGTTTTGGATCGGACTACCACGTCGACACGCGGCAAGTTACATCGGGCGACCGGAATTTTAAAATGGTGACCGGCCCCGAATATGCTAATCAAGCGTGGTATATTTAAATCCCGCGCTTCATTAGCAACTTCGGTATGCTTCATTTGCCTCCCTAGTCCAAACTAGGGGGCAAGCGTAGACATACCCTAACAAAACATGTAGATGGTATCATGAACTTTCGTGGGCACAGCCCACTTCTTCAGATGACAGGAGTGGGTTGTTAACATTATATAGTACCCTATGGGTGTGTCTACAGCGTGACAAAAGACCCTTGACTGGCCTGGGCCAGCTGACTCAGACTTGCGAGGGTCACACTGTGGGGCTCTAAAATTGTTGTGTGGATAGCTCAGTTTGGCACTGAGACTCTGACCCTGGGAGAAGGTCTCAGGGCTTGGGCTTGGGCTTGAGTCCAAGTGTCTACAATGCACATTTTAGCCTCCTAGCCTGAACCCTGGAAGTCCCAGTCTGCTGACCAGGGCTCTGAAACTTGGCGCCATAGGGGTTTTTTTGTGACAGTGTAGACACACCTTGTATGTCCTGCGCACAGGTCCAATGGCCTTCAGCAGTGGCCCTGAAGGGCCTAGCAGTGCTGCAGCTCAGATGCCAGGGTCCCATGCTGGGCACCCAGGCAATGAAGACTGCGCGGTGGCTGCAGTGGGAAGTCTGGTAATGTGACTTTCCCAGGGTCATTCCTGTAAATCAAGAAGTCAGAAATTGGGGAATACAGGTTGTACCTCCTGAGTCTAAACCAGGGAATTTGCAGGACCAGAGAAAGTCAGTCCCGACCCCTCTGCTGATGGTGCTTCACTCTGGGGGCAACAGAGGGGCCAGCTCCTAGGGCTGCTGGACCCTCCCAGCCCCTGCCAATGGTTGCTGAGCTGTGCTCCTGGCCCTTAGCCATGGTACTCTGCAGCCAGCCCGCCTCTTCCCCCAAGCAGCCCCCTCCCTCCCTGTACTTGAATGCCATAAATCCGCTTCTTGCAGCACTTGGGAAGCTCTGGAAGGATGGGGGAGGAATTGCTGAATGTGGGGGCCCTGGTTTTCCCCCTTGAGTGCTCTGGCCCTGGAACACCCACGGGGATGTCGGACCCCAGATGTTGCTGGACGAAAGAAGTCTGGACTAGAGAGGTCGAGCGGGTACAGATTTAAGGTGGAAAGCTCAGTTTTAACTTTGCCCCCTCTTGCTCAGGCCTTAAAATGAGGCCTCTCCTTGTCCCGTTTGCAGCGATCGATGACGTAAATGAAGTTTATGGTTCCCTGCAAAGTGGAATTTCTTAAAGAACCCAAAGCAGTGAGTTATGGCTTCCCCTATGTACTTAGCGCTCATCAATGGGAGAAATCTGCCTCGCCTCCCGGACTGATCCACCCCTGCAACTCGGTGCTGTGACTCTGCAAAGGAGGGGAATAATCAGGACAGCTGGCTGATTCGTGGGGGGGAGGGGCAGTGTTCTTTCCTTTCCGAGCAGTTGGACTGTGGTCCCCCGGGAAGGACAGAGCCCGGAAGCATTTGAGATCACACACTGACGTCCAGCTTGAAAGTGGAATTGGTTTGTGTTTGCCCAGCTACCTCTCTTCCCCTTCACTGCTCTGCCACTGGGCATTAAGCCAGGATGTCGGTTGGGACAAAGAGTTCCCCTGCTGTGACCTGGACATGACAGGGCAAGAGGCTTTGCAGTGCACAGGTGAGCCGTGCCCCAGCCACTTGCTCTGAGTGACCAGGCACTGCTGTCTATCCCTGTTCCTCTCCGAATGTTGACCTGTTGGTATGGGAGGGACAGTGGCTGCTCGAGGATGAACCCTGCCACCAAAAGTCCGCTCCTGTTAGCCCTAGGAAATGGGAAGGGGGGTTACCCCAGAGAAATCAGCCCCTGCCCCTCTCGTGTGATCTGCAGTCATGCTGAGGTTAGGTTTGAGAGGCCGTGGGGGAGCTCAATGATTCCAGTATCCACTGGTTCCGGTAAAAATGTTGTTTTTCCAGCTTCCATTGATTTCACCCTCGCTGCTGGGATTTTCATGGCATTGTTGTCAAATGCTCCTTTGGGCTTGTACTTTCCCTGGGTCCATCCCTTCGCTTCCACACCCATCTCCCACCCCTACCTCCTGGATCTTCACCTCAGGGCGTTGGGTGGGCAGAACATAGCTTCTGTCAGGTGGAAGATACCCTCCTTTGATTCCCTGCTTTGGGGGCTCAGGCAAATCAGTCAGTCAAGCCCCAGACACACAAACTGCAGCAAACTCCAGACTCTGTGGGGCCCATGCTCCCTTTTGCATGAGTCCCTTCCAGTCAGATTCCCTGAGGCACTTAAAGCTCCTGTTCTCCCTTTGAAATGGATCAGATGGAACATAGGTGTTATCTTTATAAGCCTTTTATTATAGTATCTCCAAACCATCTTTCCCAATCTGCTCCTCTCCCCCTCTCAACCCCCCCCCCCCCCCCCCCGCCCCTGCCTCTCTCCTCTGGTGCCAGTCCCTCCCCTCTACGTGTCTGCCCCTCTGCTTTGCCCCCACAATCTCCACCGTTGCAGGCTAAATGTCCCTTCTCCGCAAGAAAAGATGCCAGATCCACACCCTTGTCTCTTACAAGTCCAGGCCTCTGGTAGCACAACCTCATTCCTGGCTTTCCTAGCCAGGGCAATTGAGAAATAATTCCAGAATTCACATTCCCAGCACGTCAGGCTCCATGCAGCACCCAGCATTTGGTCCCGCAGCACTCAGCCGTGGGACAAATCTTCATGGCCTCACTGGGCTAAAGATTTTCCTTGGGTTATCCCCCTGTTCACTTCCCAACTTCCCACTCTCCTCTTTCACTCCCCACTCACCCAGACTGGTACCCACAAAGCACTTACCTGGCTGGAGGAACTCTTCTGAATTCCTGTCCCTTTCTTGTTTCCCACACTGCCATTTTACTCTCTCTTCATCAGTTTTCTCTCTCTTTTCTGTCTCCCTCACTCTCTTCCATGTGGCCTCTCGAGGAGCACTGGGTACCCAGCTGCTGTGCTGAAGTCTCAGAGCCCTTCTGGGATGGGAAGCCAAGTTTTATGTCTCACTCAGATGCAGTGCTGACCTCACAGGGCGGGGGTGCGACATCACAACCCAGAGCTGAGATGCTGTCTTTGCCACCTCCTTCTGTTGTCAGGCATTTTATTCACTCAGGCTTGGCTATAGACTGACTGACTTCTTCCCTCACACCTTGTTGGCTTGGATGGTGGAGCAGAAAATGTCTCTGAGCTTTGGTTTCCCTTCTTTCAAGTCACTGGCATGGCCATTATCTCTGGATTCGTTGTGGGCCTGGCACGCCCCACTTTCTCCTTCTATTTTGTGACTCCAGATTCCATAGTGTGTTCGGCTTCCTTTTATTTTCTGCTGCACTGAGGGATCTTTGCAAGTAGGAAGGTTCTGGTTAGGAACTAGTAGAAATCTTCCCGTTTTAATTTCTGATTTCCCCTTCCCCCACTCAGCGGTTAATATATTGTCTTTATGTCTGTTCAGTGTTTTGAGTATTATTTCGTTCGGAGGTTGGGTGTTTGCTCTATAATTCTGGAGGCCAGCAGAGTTAAGTGCTGCAGAATCCATTTCATCCATTCAATCACAGCATCCTGTCATCCAGGCAAGAGATCCCCCTTTCCATTTTGGGGTCTCTGATGGGATTCATGGGGCCCCCTGCCAAGCCCCCCCCCCCTTCACTGTCTAGAGATCCTTCCCATGTTTCCTTTCTGCTCTGGTCCTTAAATAACTCCTCTTTCCTATCACCCCATCTGCTCTGCTAAGGTTGCCAGATGTCCGGTTTTCAACCACAAAGCCAGGAACGCCCGGTTGAATAGAGACCCTAGCAGCTCTGGTTAGCGACTATTGAAAGTCCAGTCAGTGGCACAGCGGGGACCTGGGGCTAAGACAAGCTCTCTACCCGCCTTGGCTTTGTGCAGCTTTCGGAAGTGGCTGCCAAGTTCCAATGGTCCCTAGGTGTAGGGAGGTTCTGCCAGTGTGCTGCAGGCGCAGGAAACAGGGCAAGGGTGTTTGGCATTGTGCGATTAGAAAGTTGGCTACCCTATGCTCTGCCTTATGGTCAGGAACTTCTTTCTCCTTCTCACTGTCTGGGCACAGTAGGAGATCATTGAGAGCCCAGGAGAGACAGGCTCCATGGTGTCTGTTTTGGTGTCTAGTGCCATAGTGGCTCCTAGTAGCTGAAAGCAGCATTTTCAGGGCAAGTCCTTCTTAGCCCTTGCATTCCCAGGATGGCGCATGCTCCGTCGTTCTGTGGGGATGGCGCATGTACCTTCCAGTCGGCAGGTACGTGCTCTGTGGGGCCAGAGCACATTCAATGCAGACTGAAACTTTGGAGAATTTAGCTCCCAAAATGTAATACATCTCTACTGAGCATGTGCAAACAGATTTTTTTTTTTTTTAGGCTTTTAACATGTCCACATTTGAGCATGATTTGACGGGGTTGCCAAAAGGCACACCCTCTTTGCAGGGTGATACCCTTTGGTCACAAAACCTGGAGGTGCTGGACTTTCTGAAGTAAATGGCTATAAGAATTTTTCAAACATGGGCAAAGCAACATATTTTTTTCTCTCACTTCCTTCTGAGAAATGGCTGATTGTTTCTGCTGAGTTTTTAAATAAAATAAAAATAAATCAGAATTTATCCTCAGGCATGGAAAATTTCAACCTGAACAGTTAAAGGTTAGTAAAGTTTATGAACAACTGAAAATAGGGCCTTATAATGGAAAATGTTGGGCAATCTTAATGATAGGTTAAGGCAGGTCATGCTGTCTATAGTATGTATGTATTTGAAAAGGCCCTAGTGATAGGTGTCTCAGAAGAAACTCAGAGATGGTGTCAGCGTTAACTATAATAGAACAGTGTTTAAATACTGAAAGTGAAGGCCCAATTTAGTAAGCTAAAGAATTTTAAAAAGTAGATAAAAAGTAAAACAAAATAGGAGGAGACAAAAGGCTTAGAGAGTTAGTTCCTTCCATCTGTCTTTGCTGTTTACAGCAAGTCATTTGAATATAATTACTTTCAGCGGTGGAACCACTTAGTACTCAGGGCAGGACTTGTTTGCTCTTTTCTGCTTTCAGCTAAGATATGGCTATTTGCTGTCTGGCTCCAAAGGCATTTTTATTACTTCTTTCTCCCTTTTCCTTCCTTTAAAAGGCAATAAATATATAGCTGTATTTTTTTTTTTTTTTTTTGCCATTCATGTAGTGTTGTTTTTTAAATCAGTGGACCAGCTTTTTAGCCGGAATAAGTTGGAGTAGCTTCATTTACATAAACTGAGGAGCAGTGGGCAAAAACTGGCCTGCAGGCTGTTTGCAGTTTGCCAGGGTTAGTCTCTGGTGGGCTGCCGACACTATATTTACCTGTGCCTTCATGGGTACGGGCACTTGTAGCTCCTGTTGGCTGTAGATTGCTTTTCCCAGCCAATGGGAGCTGCGGGAAGTGGTGTCCTGTCCGCTTTCTGCAACTCCCATTGGCCAGAAACGGTGATCCATAGCCAATGGGAGCTGCAAGCACCCGTACCTGTGGAAGCGCAGGGAAATAAAGCGGTGGTGGCCTGCCAGAGGCTAACTGTAGCAAACTACTTTTGTCTTATTGCCCACCCCTGACCTAACTCAAACAATGGATTTATTTTATCTTGGAAATTTACAAATAAAAATCTGGAGATTAGGATAGCTGTTATACAACCTTCACCCAGTCTCCCATAATTGGACAATTATAGCGAAGGACACTCCACGCCAGCTTAGTTTATCAATACATTATATTTGAATGAGGCTATTTAGATACATTGTTCGTTGCACTTATTTGTTTTACAGTGTATGACTTGGCTGATATCAGTTTGTCTATGTTTAGATTTTTTAAAAAGTCCATTCCAGCAATGATTGGAGGGTCATTGTAACAATACAGATTGGACCTCCCTGGTCCAGCACCCTCAGGACCTGAGCTGTCCTGGACCAGGGAGTTTGCCAGACCAGGGGAGGTCAGTGCTCTCCTGCGGGCTGCCCTGCTCCCAGGCTTCTCTCCCTGAGGCTCCCTACCCTGCCCTGCTGCTGGCCCCCTAACACTGGCCCAGCACAGCTCTCCACCCTGCTGCCTGCCCACTGCCCCAGCATCTCCCACGGTTCCCGGTGGGGACCGCTTGGCCACTGCTGGCCACATCACCTCAGGGTGTTCCCTGGGGTTCCCATCTGAGGCCACCTGGCTGCTGCTGCTAAGGTTTCCCCAGCCAGGGTGCCCAGCCATCCCACTCCACTGCTAGGGCTGCTGCTGGGGATTATTGCTGCCGCCTGCCTCTACCACACCACTTCAGGTAGGGGTTTCTCCAGCAAAGGCTGCCCAGTCACCCCAGCCCCACTGTCACCAGGGGTTTGCCGGGATTCCTGGTTGGGGCTGCCCAGCTGCCAACAGCTCCACTGTGACTGGGAGCTCCCGGCTGCCTAATGGCCCCACTGACACCCTGGGTTCCCTGACCAGGGTGGGGGCTCCTCAGATGCCTCCTGGCCCAGCCGAGGCTCCTCAGCCCCTGTGTTGCTCCTGCATCCAGAGCTCTTTGGTCCAGCAACATCCATGGCCCTGCCGGACCACAGATGTTGCCGGACCAGAGAGTCCCAGATTTGGAAAGTTCAGCCTGTAACCGGTTGGCTAAGATTTTTATAGAAGGCAAACCAATGCTATTCCTAACTTCAAGGCCAATGGGTCATACAAAATGTGATCACTTTCTACATATGTCAAGATGTGGTAGCATCTTACATGCGTTTTACAGAGTTTCCAGTTATTATATTTTCTGAGACATACAGTGCACTCACAGAAATAATTGAAGAATTAATTCCTCTCCAAAGATCGGATCTGAATATAAACGCTGACTTGCTGTATGTGATTTTGTAGCTTTTGTGAGGAGAAAAGAACACGCTCTTGAAAATGTCATCTCAAAGGATGCAGCTACTTCTGTAAAATTCAGGACCTTCACTCTGGTTTTAATGTTGCTAATTCAGGGCTTGATCCTGCCAGGCTTACTCAAGCAAAACTCCTATTCCACTTGTGGGGCCAGACTCCTAGATAGGCTGGTGTGAGGAGGCCAGGGTTCAGTTGTAAACCTTCCTGGGGGCAGGGACTCCTCTTCAGTGCTGATTCCAGAGGAGAGGCAGTGAACAGTGTAGGAAGGGGCAGGTTGGTGGGATGGGGGGGAGATATGGGGGAGGGGGGGAATTCCCATCTGTACAGTTGCCCAGCCTCCCCTGCCTGGGCATACTCCCACTGTCACATGAGGGACCGTGTTGGCAAAGGCCTATGCTTATAGCAGAGCCTATTGCCATGAGTTTGTGTCCTTTGTCCAGAGATCGGGATAGTCAGCTATTAAGTCTCAAACATTGGTGTGTGTCCTAAGTGAACTGCCAAGCTTGACTATTGCTGATTATATCTGAGACTACTCACTTAACTCTGGAAACCTCCCCCCCCCCCCCCACCA